TTAATCTTAAAACCAGACAGGGCCGTCACCCCCACCGTTTCCCTCGGAAGGCTGTTCCAATATTTCACCCCTCTGACGGTCAGATACCTTCGTCTAAAATGATCAAATTTGAGACACTTTGCCAATTCAAGAACCCCATCATCACTGGTGAGTCTTATTAAATACCTGTTCTTATTGGCATATTGGACAGGAAGATACTACTAGGCTAGGGATGGTGTTGCACAGTATGAAATTTGCCAGATGTGCTGATTCTATTATACTGACGTTTGAGACTGATCTGTATGCATGTGCTGTTATCCATCATCATTCATACTGGCACTTTCCTTTGCCCCGTTTGCAAACAAACATACTGTGGTTCACATATCTATGCAGTCATTTATTTATGCTGCGTGTGTACAAGATGCGGTACGTGCATTCCTCACCCACTATGTTACGGTATTTCATGGTCCACAATGGGGCCTGTTGCTAGTTATTATTGTTCTGGTCAAATCTAATGATGTTTTCAAATTGGAAAACACCAAATGATTGCCCTTATTTGATTCTGCTCTTTCACTTGGCCATCCCAGTTTTCCGCCCTTACATTGTTCTTGCACCTGCCACGGGTATGGCATCCTATGTTTGGACAAGGACTTCTGATAAGGACTCATTTATCTGATTCTATTTTGTGTTACTACACTATTCATGACCACACCACATAACTAATGGGGACACATGGGACATTCTGGCTCACTCTGCTAAGAAGAGCATCTATACATTATTGTAGTTTGATATCAACATATTGGGAAAAGATTATGATTGACGTGATTGACACCACTGCAGATGAAATATGGCTTCTGTCACTTGACACATAATCTACAGATACACAAAATGATTTAAACCTTGGGTGAAGTCCTGGCTCCACTGAAGTCAAAGGCAAATCTATTAACTTCAGTGAGGCCAGGATTTCACCCCTACTTCCTATGTGCACTGCTACTGTTTCCCTAAATGTAACATTCAGGGCAAATTGATATAATCTTCATATTCTTCTAAGGAGATTCCTTTTTAGAGACACATTTTGGCAACTAAACTCAACAGTGGCTTTCCTGATTTGATTTTTATATTGAAGATTGAACTCTCTCCTCATTTTATATCCACACAACACAGAATTTGGTCTATTTGCATATAATGTTCAGTTGCAATTCTTCCCTCTCTTCATTTAAATTCCTCTTGAATATTCAACGCCCACAAGTCACTAGCTGACTAAGTCATCTACTTATCTATTTCATTTATGCATCTCCTGAGCAAACTGCTCATCAGTGTCGATAGAGGGGGTTGAAAGTCAGCAAGAAGGGATTATATGGACACCAGGAATTGATGTGAGGGAAAGCAAAGCTGGGATCTGGTGTGGGGGAAAGACATGAGGAATAAATTTTTGTGGAAAAGAAATTTAGTGTGTTTAAGTTTTTCTTTTTAAATCCAACAAATGTGTAATTAATCAGACATGTGCCTATCATTACCTAAGTGATCACACTTTGTTATATTCTGCCAGCCTTCATTTCTCTTTGTCTTTTTAGATAGTCCCTGACTAGAAAAATGTACAGTCTTTGGCTTTGTGATTGGAAAATGCTAGCACCTGCTGGCTGCTATTGTTGTATTGTAAAAAATGTTTATATTTTGCATGATTAATTTATCATGACCACCCACATTTTCTTTAGATGCTTACAAAGCAGTTTACAAATATTAAGCTCCACCTACTTTCCACCCCTTATTTACATGGCTGAAGTAATCTCACACATCCCCCCAGTTAATTATAAATACTTATAAAGCTCTGTAAATGTATATGGCACTTTACAGACATAGAAAAAGACATGGTCCCTACCCCAAAGAATGTACAGTAGGATGCCTACAAGACTAAACACAGAGCAGTAGTTCAGGTAAGAGAGGTGTTTCAGGGATAATTATTGGTGAAGAGATAAACTCATAATTCATGGAAGATGTGGCTTTTTTGAAGGAATAATTTAGAGGAGGCAGGTGGACAAGAGACTTCCATTTCTGTAGCAGTGTTTTCAAATGTAACATTTAATTCTGTATGCATTGGCTGGACATCCTCACTTTGAAAACCTCTTGGACTTTGGCTCCCAGTTACTGCACCATCTTATACAATAGTGACTTGTTACTAATTTACTTTTGTAATTATGTACTGGGATTTGTAATGATTAATCTCATGCCCAGTCCTATTGTCTAAGTATATGAGGTAGCAAGTGAGATTTAAATCTGTAAAACTGTTAAATACAAGTTAAAGCAAACATTGCATTAACACATTTTACAAGTGTAAACAAAGAATCAGAATTCCTGGTGGGTTGTCAGTGGATAGTTTTAATCCATTTCAGATGTTCAGTGTTATTATGAGCAGTCAGAAATGATGGTATTCAGTAAGAGAGTTCTTAGATTACAGAAGCTGAAATGCTACCGGTTAACATAACTTAAACATTTTCAGATCACTGGCTGTGCCAAAGGATTGTAGTTTTATTGACCAAGTTCAATCCACATAACTGCTGTCTGCCTCTAAGACTGTCAGTCAATCAGATTATGTTTTACTTGTCAAGGGGCAATTCATTTTGGAATTGAGAGTCTATAATTTTAGCACATAGCCATTCACAAGAACTATCATATTCAAATATTTCTGTGCATTTGTCTTAGCATTTTTATTTTATGTAGCACTCATAGCAGCTAGCATACCAGTGAGGTTGTGCAATAAAAGAAATGTAACCATCTTATACTATAACTATACTTGTGCTCCATGTGGAGTGCGGGCTTCCTTTCTTTTCCTGAACTCCAAATTGTTGGACACAATGGGTGTGTTGTGCTCTGTGCTAGCATGGAATGCATGAGTTCTTTGAAAAGGAGGTGTGAGCAGCAGCTATTACCTAGACTCTTAACAGTATAAGTACCAGAAACTAATCAAACACAACATTAGGGCATCAGTTCATAAAAACTAGTGCAAAGCCTGCTCTCTAGTATGACCTACATACTGCACAGCAGCAGTTGGACAGTTTAAATCTAGTTTATTATTATTACATGTACTGCAATACTAAGAGATTGAATGATTTTAAGGTTTTTCAAATAAAATAGTCACAAAGTCTATAATGTTTCATATCCCACATAATTCCTACAATACAGGTCACAGCAGGATAAAAAAAATCTCTATTGTGTGTGGGTAAAATGTGTATACATGACTTTGTGAACTATTCAAAATGAATTATTTCAAAATAGCAAATATTTGGAAGGGTACATTACAATATTTGACACAAATAATCTGTAAAATGATCGATCAATGTAATTCAAAAAAGGTTCTAAACAAGTCACTGCTCAAGTCTCCTTTTAATGGTAAATATTTTGTAGGTCAGTTTCCCTTGCATGAAGTTTTGCTCAAGGTATTTACAAAACTGAAAACAAAACAAATGCTTACCTCTTTCACATAAGCTGAGATGTACGGTAGCCTCCTTCTAGGAATAAGTCCACAGGCAGATGCTCCTAAGCCAACAATCTTTTAATAGGAAGCATGTAAACCTGGTTTGTACAGCCTACAATACAGAGCCCATCTGAACTGCACACCTGCTTCTTCAGCAGCGCCTGCTCATATAAAACAGCAGTGCACAAGAACAATGTTGAGAGAGGGCAACACCCTTCTTTTGGGTCAGCAGCTTTCACTCTGAGCAGCTAGCGAGCTGTTGAGATAACGTTGCAAAGAAACCTTGCCTTTACAAGTCAAAAATCCTACTCCACTGCTGTTAGCAGATATGCAGCATTATCACTCTGCATTCCACCCTCTCAGATCAGCTCGTGGCAGCAGCAGCCACCAGCTTGTCAAAATGGCATCTTGAGGGCACGCTCAGCTGTAATAATTATTCACTAATATGCCTGTTTCTTCGGTTTCCTGCGAATAGATTTTTGTTTATTCTGTGGTAAAGCACAGCATAATATGTCACACTGTTTTCCATAAGCAAAATGGCTGGTCCTTTCAGCAGTGCTGCAGACAGCTCATTGGGTTCCACGGGCTTTTTGTAGCCATGGCAACAACCAACAGACTTATCCAGCAAGCATGGCTGATCATGTGCAGATCTCCAGCACAGAATTTTAATTTATGGGTTTTTTCTTCTGTACTGCCATTATTTTAATTTCTGAACATTTTATGGAAACATTCAGATGTCTCATTTTTACCATTTGCTTTTGGTATTACACAGAATTTTTGGAAAGTAGGTGAAGGACAATATGCATTATACAAAATGTTTGTAAGAAGTGAAACCTCATTGCCTTTTATTAGTCTGGGATTATTTGCAAATTGTCTCATAAATAAACCATTGATTAAAAAACAGTCCGGTATCTTTGAGGCTCAATCTAAGTATGGAGGACATTTGAATATACGAAAAGCAATATGTAGTTATGACAAGTAATCCTTTAAAAGGCCACTTTATTAAAAATAAAATTGGAATTACTGATATGCACTAATGACACGATTCATGTCTGCCACCAAGATGTCAACATTTACAACCATTTACCACCAAGAATAGCCATTACAATCTTTACAAATTGTTCTTGGTATGTTTAACTAATACTGTGGATTTTTCTATCCTTAAATAGAAAAAAAATTAAGTGGTAACCACTGTACCCAAGGTACCACAGTAGTATCCTATACTTAGAATAGGAGATAAAACTGTACACTTCCCTATGCCTCAGTTTCCCCAAGCGATTAACAATACTTAAAATTGTGAAACTTCAATCTACAGATAAAATGTGATATTTAAGAGCGAGATACCATCATCTCAGATACAATTCTGTAACATTGGCAAACATTGGCTTTCTAGCGGTAACCACTTCATACCTAGTGCCCTTCATCCCAATTTATTTATTTAAAAAAAACCCAAACATCTATATAATATATATTAATTATACACACACTGTATTTACTACATCATTACACACATTTTTCCATCCCAAAAATTCTAGATATCTAATTACAATGTGTATAAGGGTTTGTGTCATATAACATTTACCAGGGTCAGATTCACCCGTCTGCAGGTGCAAACTGCAGCTGAGCTGACAGGAGAATAACCCTGAGAGAGGACATCTGGGGTATTGTTGAGCTCCCACATGCATTTTGTTTGAGGAAGGCAGTTTTAAATCCCATTCTAGTTTCCAGAGGGCACACTGAGACTGCTCAGAATGTGCTATGAATCTCAGCATTTCCCAGGTCAGCCCCATGCCCTTTTGTGGCTACAGCAAGTAGCTCCAGACCTTCTGGAGAAGTGTAACTTGCAGACAGGTTGTACTGCTGCACCTCTGCTCATAGTGGCACTTCTGCCACTGGGAGCCCGCTGGGAATCTGTCAGTGGAATGCCAGCAGGGAAGCAGGCCCAATGTGTTTGATTTCAGACATTTCTGTCACCAGAAACCTGACTTTCCCCTTTTCAGGGTAGAAATATTCCAGCTGACTTCAAATGTTTGTCTTCAATGAGAATTATATAGTGAAGGTGAAGAATGGACCAGGGGGACTAGTGATCTTCTTTCAATACTCTGCAGCTTGTCCTTTGCTTTTTATGACTGCTACAAAGAGATGCTCTGTGTTTAGAAAGAATGCCAACGTGTCAGATTTCAAACACATTCTAGCACATTTGAGTAAGATGCTGTAACAGATATCACTGACCATATTTCTAACGTCAATCCTAGTTTATTGATTTTTCATCTTCTCCATTAACTTTCCAGAATGGAGGAAGAGTCCTTTGCTGATATTTATTTATCAATATATTCCCTAGGAAACAACAACATCCGATGCGAAGGATCAAACTGTCTTCAAGTGAACAGTGTCTCCAGCTACCAAGCACAGATTCTTGGTGCCATGACTACTGTCCAATGCTGCTCTGTTTTGAGCAGAACGGGAAGCAATTTGCTGATTTTCCAACTGATTTTAAAGCAGTTGGCTGGGAAACATTAAACCACTTAAACAATTTATTACTGGTGTGCACTGACCATTACAGGAAAATTACTTTGCATCACTAAGATACCATTTCAGTAACTTTTTCTTTACTGGATAACATAATGTGGATATTGGGCCTGATTCTCCCTTTACAGTTGTTTAACATTGATGTAGCTCCACTAATACCACTGGAGTTGCTCTCAGTTTACAGCACAGTAAGGAAAAATGAGAATCAGGTTGTTTTTCTACTCCATATATGTTCATGCATTGACCCCATTAGATCATTTGTAATTGCTACCACATTCATTAGCATTTATATAGGCTGCACTGTAAATAAATGAAAGAACAGTTTACCATCCAAGTTTTAATCCTTTTGATCTGATGCCCATGCCCATGGGTATCTTAAACCCAGAATGGAAGCACAAGGCTTTTGTACAAAAATTTTTCTTTAGGTTAAAGAATGCACATATGGGATGCAATCTGCAGCATTCAGTGTTAAGCATCCAACCCTGTATTCCTCATGGAGGGATAGCTCCAATTCAAATCAGTGCGAGTTTTGCCTACACAAGAAGTACCGGACTAGGGCAAAGTGGATATGTGCTTTTTGTGTAGTTGTGGAATAACTGGTTAGGTGGAAGGCATGGTGATAAGCACAATATAAGAACCTGAATATGGTCCCAATCCAACAAAGCACTTAAGCACCAATGGTGAGATCCTTACCATCACTCAAGTCCTTGTACGCTGGGTAAAAAGGCTGGAGTGATGTAAAGATGCCTTAAAATCACCATCTGGCCAGCGGAGGATTTCTGTAGTGCAGACACTATGGAGATAGCCATAAGGCTGCCTCCTGGAGACACCTTCACAAGACCCAATGTAGATAGGGTTGCCAGGCATCTGTTTTTTGACCGGAATGCCCGGTCGAAAAGGGATTCTAGTGGCTCCGGTCAGCACAGCTGACCG